TCCATGTTTTTAGCTGGAAATTCCTCGGCATTACTAAAATTCAGTAAAAAGTGAAATTTCATATTGAGAATTTCGGTGTAATTTCATGTAATTGTTTAAAATTCCTCCATGTAATTCATTTAGGATTTCGTGTAATTCGATCGGAATTTCACTGAAATTTCAAGTAATTCGAGAGGAATTAAAGTTTAATGTAAATTCTATGAAAATTTCACATCTAATTCCTTTTTCAGAATAACATAATTATTCTACTGAAATTCCATTAAATTGTGGAATTCTGAGATTTTCATAGATTTTTTGGGAATTGCAAAGAATATTTGGGAATTTTAAAGGAAATATTTTTCAGAAATGTCAATGATAACCTATAAATCGAAATTTGATAAAAACATATGGCAACGCTGCTCATGATACAACAAACGTCAAAAAATTGAAATATCAAAGTAGGCCTTGGTTTTTTTTGACAGTCGATATAAAATGGCGTCTTTTTGTTTCAAAGATTACGATCCGAAGAGCCAAAGTATTAAAATCAGTTGACAATAAACGGGTTCGTATAACTCCAGCTTTTCGGGCTCGCATATAACTCCGGCCCTTCGGGCTCTCATATAACTCCGGCCCTTCGGGCCGGGGTTGGGGTTTTCTTTTTAATTCCGAACCCGAAGAGTGAGGGTTTTAAAAACATTCGTGCGTATTACCAGACAAAAACCCTTATATGTATTTATAGAAAATACCATGTTGCCAATAATTAAGTACATCAATTCTTTTCCAATTTTAATGAAAATGGACTATTGAAAATGGAGAAAAAAACAGTTTTGCAACGCAGCATTTCGACTTTGATATATAACGACATTTGACAAACTTGTCAAAATAGTGACAGCTGTCAAGACTGATCAAACAACGATTATAAGTTTGATTGTTTAACACCAAATTGATTTTTTTTTTTGTCAATTGTCAATTAAACAACTGTCAAAAGTGATTTACAAACTAATGCAATGTTGCCAATAATTACATCAATTATTTTAATGTAAAAAAAAATGTATTTCTATCTCTATTTTATACAAGCTGATAGAAAAGACACACAATAGAATTCGCTAAATAATTTAAATCAACTTGTAAAATGACAGGAAATAGTGCAAAGTATTTCGTTTTTTAATCGTCAATGTCACTTGTCACATTTATTAGTACGACATATGACCAGATGTCAACTGTCAAAGTTATTGTTTATTATTGCCACTTTTGGCGTCACTATGTCACATGTCATTCAATGATAGATGTCACTCGATATTGTTAGAATTCACCTTAAAGTGTCTGTTATTCTTGACCTATTTCAGTATAAATGACTAATGACAATTTGCTCTGGAGGGCAAACATTAATTTATAACCAAAAAAAATAATGACATTATTTTGGCATTTTTCGCTTTAAATTTGACAACAAAATGATTGGTTGCCCTCCAGCGTGACGTCATACCAAAATGGTCACTTATTCGTTTAGTCGAATTGACGTCATTCGTTAGTTATAATTTAGACAGATGAACGATATGTCAAATGTCATTTTGTCATCTACTGCAACTGTCAAAGTTATAATTTCAATCTGGAAATCAATCGCCTACTTTTCAATATTGGTGAACACATGGACGATTGGTTAGATATAGATAAAATGTTGTACGTTACCTTAAAATATTACTTCTCCTGTATTACCGACCCAATATTGTCAGTCCTTTTAGCAGTGCAAAAGTATTACAGAGTTCTGTATTACCGACCCCAATGTTATTCAAAGGCCTGCTTAATTAAACAAGCGACGTTGCCGCATGATAGAAATAATCTCGAAAGATTTGAAAATATCATCATTTTAAATAGGATTTTGGTCCCAAAACTCTCACTGGCAATTGACGTTTGTTTAATCATTCCGCCTACAATATCGCTATCTCACTTGTTTGAGTTCACTGGCCAATCGAATAAAATGAAATGTCGTACGTCATGTGACAACAAGAGCCGGGAATAATCAAAATTTGCAAGTTTTGAATAAAATTTTGTACGCAACCTGTAATACCGACATCCATCCAAAGCCTACTTGATTTAATCATCGTTGACAATATTAATAACTATTTTTTTTTGACAGTTGACAGGACAAGTGATGCTTAATGTGCCACTGTTCGGTAATTTATTGGTAAAGTTTGTCAACCGGTTGAATTTGTCATTTGTCAACTAATGACATAAATAAAACGGTTGACAAATGAATCAATATCATATTGTTTTTGATTGGTAGAATTAGTGCAAAAGAAAATCTTGTTTCTTTTTAGCAGGATGAGAAAAAGAAATGGAAATACACTCGGTGCGCAAAAAAAATATATCTACCAATCGGAAATGGTAGTATACGTTGACAATTGACAAATGACGTTTCGCATTCGTATATTTCGCCTATACTACCGGACAATGAATTTCCCGCTTCAAGTAATAGAATAAATGACATCTGACACATGGTTCGTCTCTGTCAAACAAATAATTGTAACCAACCAATGTCGTCATCAATTGACTGTGTTATCGAACGACATTTGACACATCTGGAATCTATGACGTCATCAAATTACGTGTCAAATTCAAGCAACGACATCGAAACAAAAAATAAGTAGACGATTAATTTCAAAATTGACATTAATAGTAGTTGCAGCGGGTGACAGATGACATTTGACGTCCAAAATAATAAACAAATAACGACCAATCAAAAACATACATTTGACACATTAAATGTTAATTATGTGTCAACGTCAAATTTGACTCTTGATAGTTAAAAATATAATAAATTAACAATGACGTCGAATAATTAATACAGTAAGAAATGTCAATCAGTTAAGGCCTCAAATCGTGTTTCATCTCTGTCTGTTTGTATGCAACAAACAAGGACAAACGTACTTTTTTTTTTCTGGAAATTCATAGACTATTTTCAAGTGCCTAAAATCGACTAAAAAATTTATTTTTAAATATTACATAAAATTGCTGAAAATGACGTTATTTTAATTCAATATGGCGGCGTGGAAATAACACACCACGTTTACATTCAAATTGCAATCGATTTGAATTGAATGTAAAAGCACTAGTTTGTTATGCCCACGTCGCCATCTTGAATTATCAGCTTAATTGAAAACTATAAAATTCAAGAGCCGGGAATAGGAAAAAAAAATTGAATTTCCCGCTTCGAATAATAATATGACAAATGACGTTTGACTCTGTCAAGCTTGAGCAAAAATACAAATATTGGGTAAATAATTATTGTAACATATTACTTTGGCAGTTGGCAGTTGTGTCATCGAATAACTTTTTTTTTGTTTTTTATCTCCAGTATATGACGTCACCAATTACTTTTCAAGTTTAAATTTTTCCATTGATACGTCAAAAATATAATAAACAAACAATGACAAATCGAAACAAATATTAGACCATCAATCAAGATTGACATTTGTAATGAATGACAAATGACGTATGACATAAACTAATAAAAGTACCATCGAATTTGACGCTGGCAATGCCGAACGTCTTTTTTGACATATAGTTAAAAAAAAATTGGTACTTCTTACGAATTCTTCGAGGCTAAATCTATATGTCCATGTAGGTTTTTTTTAAATTTTGACAGCTGTCAATCTCAAAAAAAAATTCTTTTGTTTTTTCCAAAAAACATTTCCTGTCGGGTTTGGAATTCGAATTTTTCAATTTTCCCGGCTCCTGATTGGTTTGGGGATTCGAATTTTGTTTATTCTCTGATTAGCTTTAAAATAATCTATATCAGTTAACAATGAACGGATTCGACCAATAGAATTATAGACTGAGTCCCGTAATTAAAATAACTCTGGCCCTTCGGGCTTGTGTATAACTCCGGCCCTTCGGGCCAGGTTCAATTTTTTGGGGGAGGTTTAGCCTCCCCTGCCTCCTCTGACGAGCCGCCACTGCCAATAACCTTTCTTTCTGTTTTCGGAAGGAAACTTTTATTTTTCCATACACAATCCCTTTTTTTTCGGCGGCCAGAGTGGATTGGGACCCTTTTAAATCGCATTGTTGGCGAAGAGCTTTATTAAATCATTCCCAACAAGGCTATTTTGCCTCTCTTTTTTTTTATTCGAGTGCTTTTGAATTTTCAGTGAAGTTCCTCATAATCTCAAACTGTGAATTTGAAATTTTCTGAGTCATTTTATTCTAAAACCAGAGGACCCTCTGTTTATGTTTCTGAAAGTTTACGTAGCCCGCCGATTTCCATATTATTCAAATTTGCCGGTGAAGCAACACAAGTGGTCGTTTTTCCAGGATGGAAAATAATGAAATAAATAAATTCTACTTTTTCCTGTTGAGGCCTATGTTCTCCCCTCTGGTCCCTCTCAATGATATTATGTGCTTCAACTTTCTCCCCCTTTTAATCACCTATAAGGGGACCGAAAAATGTTGCTTTATAGAATAGTTACACCCGGTATAATACTGTGATGTATATCGCCCCTGGCCATTGTAAACTCGTCTTTAGAGAGGCGAAGAAAACCCGTTTTTGCTTCAGGTCAAAATTAATGTTTACCGTACACTACACACACAGCACACTCGGACGTGGGCGAGGATATGCTTAGGGATGTTAGGTGGTTTGCTCTTAAAATATAGGTAGTATATTGTCCGCAATTAGCAATCATAATTATTTTAGACTCGAAACAGTACCGAGTCGATATACAATCGAACCGGTAGCGAAGCATTATTATAATCCACATCGCTACTGTGCGCGTATTTTACTTTCTACATGTCACAAACCCGACTATAGGAAACGGTAGAAGTAGATGTTTATGGGCCTAGATAGATCTTTCGATAGCCTCGTATTTATGCGGCTCGCGGAAAAAAAATAGTATTTACGGTTTGCAGTTTGGAGAGGTTCGGAGCAAGTCGTTCGTATACTCAATTCACAGATTAGAGAAGTAAAGAAAGCGCTGTAAAATTGTATTAAAGGCGGGCGTTTGAAACAAAAACATAGTAGTTTGTAATAATATTTATTGACAATTTTCTTAACACGTGTCCTAAATATAAATCAATAAACCGAGGGGCAAATCACTGGTCAAATTTGTATAAAAAATTCCACCAGTGATTTCCCCTCGCAATAAACTTTTTGATAGAATACAAAAAGCGTTGTACCGATGAAAAAATAAGTACAATATCACATAAGATTCTATATAAATCAATAATAACAAAATGTTTAAATTTTGAACGACAAATTTGTCGCTTATTGTTACTAATCGTATCACAAAAACGATAATGAGCGTCCTACTTGCAAAATAACACTGTGAGATCCAAATCGGAACACATCGCCTAACATTAACTTATTTTATAATAATTATTAAACAATTTCACAGCGAAAGACAAAGGGTGGATTTGAGGCTGAAATTATCTTTAATTCGGATCATTTGCTAAAAAAGGTTTGATATTTTTTCTTTGGAAGAAATTTGTTTTGATTTTAATAATTGGTCTTTATGTGTTTTACAGTAGTTGCTATTTATTTTCCATTCTCTATATCTACAGGGGGGTGGGATTATTTTTGAGGCCACGTAGTAGCTGAATTTTTCAATACATTTTACGGGGTGACTGCAAAACGTATTCCTAATACATAGTAATATGGGAGGAAAAAATGTTTGTTTCCATCTGTTATTTATTGCGTTTCCATTCTATCTTTTCTTCTAATAGTAATTATATTTTGGTAAATCAATCGAGAAAATATTTTATCGTGCGCGCACCTTTCAGTGATAATCATTCTTTAAATCAGTCTTACCATACTCAACTCATAGTACCGTTCGTTTCATTTGTCCTGTTGCTGGTCCGCGTAGGAACGATACAGCTTCTTTTTGCTGAGGGTGTAAGCGGGACTCAGTACCACCGAACCACCTTTCGTAAAGTTCCTGAAAAAAATACATTAGACGACGAAGGCGACTTTAGAAAACCCTATATACCTTAAAAATTGCGGTAGAAAGTTCCAGCCGTTGCCGCTTTGTTTGAACGTCAGGTACAGTTCGAAGGTACAAGCGGTACCAGGATCGCACTGGATTTTCGCAATCCTGGTAGACGGCAGATCGCCGAGCGGTTCGAACAGCACATAGAGGTGACAGCCGCGCAGACCGCACGGTTCCGATTCGGCCATGGACGAGATATCGCAAGCTACCTGGAAAAATAAATTAAATTGAATCTATAATGAACGCGATCCAATCTTACTCTCAGTAGTAAGCCGCAGGGTAGTAACACTTCGCCGCAGGCCAAGTGACTGCGTTTAGCGGCGCGCAGCTCTTGTTCCAAGCGGCGCGACAACGTAGCGACATTTCTTATGATGTCTTCATTGTCTGGCGAGGTCTGTTGCCGGTACGACGGATAGTAGTTGGTGGGCCACGGATCTAGAATAATAATTATTATCAATTCTATACACCAACGAAATGGGTACTCACTCGCAGGAACAGGTGTGTCGGCCAGCACCGACTCGATAATGTCCGAAGACATAATTTTGCCTGGAAAATCCTCGGCCCTCGGTAGTACCTGGGAGAGTTTACTGAAAACCCCTTGAAGCTTGGAATCTTTGACTTCATGCCGAAGACCGCTGCGGAACATTTTGATGGCAAAAAAAAGTTACATCGAAAACTATCGGTTTTTGATCCTCGACGGCCGTCTTGGCATTTTTTTTTTTTGCTAGAGATGAGGAGTCTTGCAGCGGTAGTTGTTGCACCGGTGCCGGTTAACAAAGAACTCGCAGGACCAACATCAGCTGATCCTCCGGTATCGAATTATGAAGTGGCTCGGCATTGCGGCGGTCGGACAAAATCGGTTTTGTTTCGATCTCGAGGCCGAAGAACCAAAGAACTACTATGATTACTTAAATCCTCGAAAATAGACTATGGATGGGATTAGTGTACCAAGATATTATGGAAAACGTTATGTTTAATTTTTATCAAAGGAGAACATGGTCACGATATGATTCTATTTCGGTCAAAAAATGTTATTGTTATTTAAAATCTCACGAAATCTGTTATACTTGTATGTCCATATAACAATGAGAAAAGTTAATTGTGTAAAAATGTACAAAATTATTATAGATTTGAGCTATCGGCCCACTGTGTGTGCCTCTTCTTCGGGCGAATGGGGAACGAGGATTTTCTCCGTTGAACCCATGGCCTGGCAACAGAACAGCCGTGTGTGAGAATCAGCTGTAACGATCGGCTGGGATCAAGCTGCGACTCGCTGCGCATCGCCTCGTCTCGCTCTGATTTCGATATACCTGCGGTTGGGGTTTTTCCGAAATTTCTATATTTAGGGGCGATTTTTTCGACAATTTTGATCTTTACCCCGTAGGGAATTGTCGTAAAATCGAGTTTTGAGAGGTTTTCAAGTCGTGCCTGACGTACTACGGGAAATTTTCTGAAAAAAACCTTCAGCGAACACAAAGAACTAAGAAACCGGTGGTAGCGGAGATTAACAGAGGGACGTACGACCAGATTAGATTCGTATGGTTTTAATAGACTCTGCTACGGGTTTCCTGTAACAGATAAAATACATTTTTAATTGATATCGAGTTGGTTTGGAAAAGCTTTCGAAAGCCCTTGTTGCGCTACTATTAGATAAGTTCTAAGAATCTCCCTATAAAACATTAAGCACTGTAAACTGTTCACGGACCTTCAATATATTAATTGTCTTACGAAATGGAACTCTTTCTATGTGCGGCTCTCAAAGCCAACTCGTCTTTCCAACTTGCATTTTTAAAAACAGTCTGTATCGAAATAAAACAATATTCTTTATTTTTCATAGAAAAAGAAACAAATATTCTTAAATTCTATAAACTTATCATGGAATTTTGTTGAATGTGAAAAAAAAACAATTATTGTCAAAAAATCAAAATATGTATCTGAAACGTATTAGTATTGCGTGAAAATGACTCCGCTTCCTATTTTCTTAGAGTTGAAGGGCCTTTTCTGATTACGTCCACTAAAAAAAAAAAACCATAATTAAAACATCTCAAGGGTCCAAGACCACCACCACAAACATACCTCATGCTCTTTAGAAACTTGGAATGCGTCGGGTTGGCTTTTGGGTATTGTATTTCTAGGAAAACGTCCAAGTAAGAGCAAAGGTGGGAAAGCTGAGCTGCTAGGAGCCAAGGGGAGCTTTTTGAACCGTGATCCCATCCACAATTCATTTTTCTCTCTAAATCCTTTTGGAAAAAGTTGAGTTAATTATTCAATTGTTAAAGGTTTTTACGCTCACCCTTATTTCGTTGCTGTTGAGGCTGGTGTGGTTTTCTCTGTTGCTGTTCACCATTAGGGCGTAAATCGGCGCAGGTATCGGGTAGGAGTTTTTGATTACAATCAACGCTTGTAGATTTGCTGAATGGAAAACAACAAAAGTTACAAATGAAAATTTTTGACTTCACTTTACCTTTTTCTCTGGTTATCTTGGCTAAATAAAACAAATCAGCCTCGCCGACGACTCCCTCGTCTACCAAACCCTGAGCGAATTCTTTGCTGCAAAACTCTTGATAGGTACTTCCTGACCACTTGGCCAGTGCTGAAACCGCGTTCTCGGGCAACGCCATCTCTTGCGGCACCTGCGGCACTACGTTCAGCTCGAGCTGTTGCATCTGATTGGCTAGATCCGTTCTGGCAGCCAACCGTTTGCTAATCATTTTTAAGACATTTTCGATGTGTAGCCCGTCGGGCGACTTGTCATTCATCAGAATGTCAAGACCGCAAACGGACTGAGCCCACTGGTAGGCGTAACCGATGTCCGGAACTAAAGATTTGAACGAGCTCAGGCCTGTTTTTCTTAGGGAAATCTCGATGCCTAAATTGGGACTGTTCAAACCGGTATCGTTTGGTAGCAGTTCGCTCAGAATGTTTAAGCCTGATAGGATTTCGCGAGCACAATTGCCTGTTATTTTTTCTGGTACTTGGACTGTGCTATTCACAGTGATTAGTTTTAGTTTGGTGTAGTAGCTGAATACTGTGTAGAGTTTGGGGCCCTGGTCTATCGCGAACGTTAATTGAATTTGAAGCGGGTGAGCTTCTAGCAGCTGCTTCTTTTTTTCTTGCAGAGGGTCAACTTGCTGCACAGATTTTCTATGGCGTTTCGATTTGACTTCTACCACTTCAGGAATTTCCGGATCCGAATCCTCATTTAGTAATTTGGCTTCTTCTCGAGCCTTATTGAATTGAGCAGCTCGTTCTTCTTCTCCGATAATTACGATTCCGATTGTGGTTTCTGAAAATATATTCGATTAGATTTGGGCTATTGGCGATAGCGGCGTTTTACCGAAAACGCTTTGGTAAGCGACAATGTTGGCATATAAAACATACAATGCGTCGGGTAAAAGGGGGGCTAGAGGATGGTCGTTTTTTGTCACCTCTTGGGGCATAGCCAAATGCTGCCGCAAGGGAACAGTGGTTTTAACTACATCGTTCAACAGCGGTAGAAGATTGTCCAGTTTGTCTTTCCCTTCTGCTATTTCAGTGATTATTTTTTTTTTCTTTTCTTCAAGTACCTTGCATTCGTCTGCTAGGGCTTTACGTTGGGTCAATTCCCACTCAAGTCTGGCCAAAGTCAAAAGGTGCTCTTGTTCTGGAGTATTAACCACCTGAAAAATTTACAATCGAAATTGTTTTTATTTCTCAATACAACTAATTAGGCTCACTTTAAATTTACTGGTTATTTCTTTGGGTGCTTCTTTCATAAAGGTCTCGATTGGTACCAGCTCAATTTCCTCGCTGTCTGATCTGAAAACATTATTACATTATTAAAACAACATCAAAACCCTGAATCACCTACTTGAAAGACAAACAATTGTTCGTTTCTTTGGTCAAGTGGTGCAACTCGTACACCAAGTTTTCGTAGGTCAGCATGATGCTGTCACACTTTTGCTTTTCCTGCGCCAAAATTTCGCGTTGCTCGATTTCGTTTAGCTTGCTGATTCTGTTGAGCTTTTTGATGCCGCAAACGTTGGCCGAAATTTCCAGGAGGAGGTAGTTGAGCTCTTCCACCGATTTCTGGGAGTCCTAAACATAGAATGTGTTAACAATGATAGTGGCTGTGATAGAATATTCAAAGTTTACTCGTTCTTTTCCTAGTTTCAGTTCGCGGGCTTGCAATAGTTTTTGCTGGATTACTTCTAAGAGATTGTCAAAAATTTCGGAATCTTCGTTTGCGTTTCGCGTTTTGGCTTCTTGTTCTTCGAATTGGCAAACGCTCTATGGAAATTTGATTATTTTTACTTTTGCGCTAATGTAGGTATTAGGTATAGGGACATTTTGGATCAGTAGGGGGATATAGGGACGTTTTAGACCAATAGGGGAATAAAAGTGTCATTTCGGACCAGTGGTCACTTTCTATTTTTTAACCTCAAATATGAATGTAGTAGTTAATGGAATATTTATATAATTTTAATGTTTAATGTCTTTTATATTGGAAAAATGATTATACCTGATAGACGTCCGGTTCCGGATCAATTTCAGACGATGTGGTTTTGCGTTTCTTTTTAAGTGCGACGGTCGCATCTTTGTCTTTTACCATTTTTCCAATGGAAAAATTAAATTGATTTGGTATGGTCTAGTGAAAAACAATAAAGAAAACTTGCTCGTCTCGTTAACTGTTAACAAAAAGGCAGGAATATTTCGGCAATTCAATACAACACAAACTACAAAACAAAGTTTTGTTTGAGTTTGATAATCGATGAACCTAACACCTAACCTCAAATAATGTCTACTTGACCGACTGGCGACTGGCGACTTGGCGCTTCTTTTTTTCAAACAAGGAGTTCGCGGTAATTTTCAAGATGGATTCTCGGGCAAGGTGTTCTTCTTAGGTACTGCAGGTTATATTATTTTGCCAAAGATAGGGGAAAATGAGGAGTAAATTATTCGACAAACTGTAATAAATTTATATTTTTTGACAACAACCTAGGTATAACGTCAAACAAAGGTAAAAATAAAATTAAACTATAACAACCATTGTTGCATTTGTCGGACTTCTCTTTTTACTATTGTGATTTTCCAACATACTCCCGCCCAAGTCCGACGAAACTAACTTGAAAAAATACAGAAACTTTTGTTTTGGGCGCTACTGGTATCTTAAGGGTTTCCTAATTTCCCTCGTACTTCTTCGTGTTGGTTGTCTTGTATCAGTAGGTTCAATATTTTTTATAGTTCCTTGGGATTGTTGGTTTTCTTCCAGGTCTTCGGTCTTCTCTTCATCGGTATTCTTATTTTTCTTTGTATTTGAAGTTTCGGGAGTCAAAGAATGGATAGATCCTTGGGGGCATTCGATTTGGGGTTCTTCTGAGGTTTCATATGTATTATATCTCCAGTCAATTCTTCTTCTCCACCGATTTCAAGTCTGTGTATACGTTGTATTGGTCTTGTGAGAAATCCATTTGACGTTTTCACTCTCACAACTCTAATTACTTGATCTTGTCCTGGGTGAACTTCTATTATTTTTCCCATAGGCCACATTGTTCTCTTCATATTTTCGGTTTGAATCAAGACAACTTCTCCAACTTTAATTTTGCTGTATTTCCCTTTCTTAGACTGCACCAATGTAGCAAGATATTCATTTCTAAATCGTGTTCTGAATGCATCTCTTATATTTTGAAGGTAATTCAAACGTTTCTTCAAACTAATTCTCTCAATTTGATCTAAATCCGGGATCTCACTGCTGACCAAACTTTTCAAAAATGAGTCTGGTGTTATTGGTGTCAAATCTCCATTGGTATTATTTTCATTGTATGTAAGAGGCCGAGCATTCACCACAGCTTCGCAATCACATAAAACTGTATATAATTCATCATAGGTAAGACTTCTTTTTCCCAAATTTCTTCTAAGCAACTCCTTAATCATACGTACTACTCTCTCCCACCATCCGCCCCACCAAGCGGCAGTCGGTGGAATGAAGTTCCATTTTATTCTTGACACTGAAGAGAATTTTTGTATTTCGTTCCAGTCTATTTGTTTAAAAAGATTTTCAGTTCCATGGAAGTTACCTCCATTATCAGAATAAATGACAGATACTCTTCCTCTTCTGGCAATAAATCTTCTTAATGAAAAAATAAATTCTTCTGTTGAAATGGCTTTAACTAACTCAAAATGACATGCTCGATAGACTGCGCAGGTAAATATTACAATATAAACTTTGTCCTTGTTCTTGAGATATAACGGACCAGCAAAATCAATTCCAGTAATCTCAAACACTCCAACGTCATTCACTCTGTCCTTTGGTAATGCGGAAAAAGGAGATTCCATAGCAACTACTTTCTGTCTCTTGCACGGTATGCATACTCCAATGACATTTCTGATCATTTTTCTCCCTTTTATTATCCAAAACGTTTCTCTCAACTTACACCACAGAGTCTGTATTCCAGCATGACAAAACAATCTATGTTTTTCTTCAATTAATCTTTTAACAATTTCATGATTGTATGGTAGCAAAATTGGGTACCTAAAACATTCCAAATCATTTCTATTAATTATGCGAGTTTTCACTCTCAACACACCATTATCATCTCTAAAGATTTCCAATCCGTGGAAGTTTTTTTCTCTTTTACCAAAACTTTCACCTTGTATAATTTTAATCAAGCAATTCTCTGCTTTTTCAATTTCTTCGCTTAATAGTTCTTTGGTAAATTTGATATTTCCTTGGGATACATTTCCATAAAATCTATACATCCAAGCAATCATACGAACAATCTTACTATACTTAGAAAAATAGAGAAATTTCTCAGAGGTAGCGTTTTTATTCAAAATAAGATTTGTTACTACCGCTGTTTTCTTTTGCTCTATATAGGCTTCTTCTTCATTATACGAATTTGAGGCTATCGGCCAAAATTCTATATTTTTATTCAGCCAATCGGGACCTTCCCACCAACGATTCTCAATCAACTGTTTTGTACTACAGCCTCTTGATGGAAGATCTGCTGCATTAGAAATACCGGCCACATGATTCCACTTGCTCAAATCAGTATGCTTCCGAATTTCCTCAACTCTATTATTTACGAAAGTGTTCCAATTTGACCTTGTCTTAATCCAAGTGAGAGCAACCTTTGAGTCACTCCAAAAATAGGCGTCAAAGTTTTGTAAACACTGTATTTTATGAATTGATTTATAGAGTCTACAAGCTATCAAGGCTGACAATAACTCAAGACGTGGTAAAGTAATTTTTCGTATGGGCGTGATTCTTGATTTTGAAAGTAACAAATTGACGTATATTTCACCATTTATTTCAACTCTTAGGAAAATACATGCAGCGTATGCTGTTTTACTGGCATCACAGAAAATATGTAAAGAAACATGATCGCAATTTTTTAAAGGAGTGGTCCTACAAAAGGTTCTTGGAATCTGACAAAACTCAAGGAGGCGTATTTGTTCAAGCCAAATTTTGAATTTATCTAAAATATCTGATGGTAACGGATCATCCCACTTGATTTTTGCTTCCCAGGTTTTTTGTAGAAGAATCTTTGGTAAGAGTGTTACTGGACTAGTGAAACCTATCGGATCAAATACACGTTGCGCAGCAGACAAAAGTCCTCTTTTTGTAAATGGAATCTTGGGTATTTGTTCAAGAAATGAAACATCACAACAGAGTACATCTTGCTCAAAATTCCATACCAATCCTAGAACTGATACTGTACTTCCTTTACAAGGCATCTCACTTTCGTCTTCTTCAAAGAACCTCTCAGCATTATATACCCATCCTCTCAAATCAAATCCACCTGAATTCAAGCATGTTCTAGACTCATTCACAAACTCTTTCAACTCTTGTATACTATCAACACTCGTTACACAATTATCTACGTAAAATGACTCTCTTAGCTTGTTAATTGTCTCTGGATAATTACCATAAGTTTGGTCCAAATGATACATGATAGTAGCTCCGAGCAAAAATGGACTTGAGGAAACTCCAAATACCACCCTCGTATGTCTATAGATTTTAATTTCATTTATAGATGCATCTCTCCACCATAAAAATCTTAATACATCTCTGTCTTTTTCGGCTACACGAATCATAAGAAAAGCTTTTTTAATATCGGAAATTACACCTATCAAACCTAATCTAAATTTAACTAAAATCTCAGGTATCAACTCAGTTAGATTAGGTCCTTTTTCTAAACTATTATTTAGTTACTATCTTTAGCCGAAGCATCAAATACCGGTCTTAGTTTTGTAGTAATACTATACTCTTTAATGACGGCGTGATGAGGAATATAGTGTACTGTATTTTCTGAGCTTAGGTTTTTCACTTCCTCAATAATACCTAATTTTTCCCACTCTAGGAATACTTTATCATAAATATCATATTTATTTAAAATTTTAAGTTTTTTCGTGGTTGAAACAAGTCTACATTCCGCTTGTTGTCGGTTATTTTCTAGTCGTTTACAATCATTTAACCATGGGAGACAAACTTCGTATTTACCATCCTCTATTCTTGTGATACACTCATTAAATTTTTTAATTGTTTCTGCTTCAATTTCATCTTTACTTTTAATGGAAATTGGATCTCTTTTTTTGAGGATATATTTTGTGATCCCATTACGGTCCAACCCAGACGGGTCTCAATCGCAGTAAGATTGCCTATAGGTTTCAGTGTCCCTGTTATTAATCTGCCATATATGTCTGCTCCCAATAACAAGCTAATATCTAAACTTTTCAACTGAGTGTCAGAAATGTAGATATTTTCCATTTGCAATTTTCTTAGGATATCATTATTTTCCAAGCGTGGAATAAAATTGCAAATTTTGTTTTGTTCTAAAGCATAACTTTCAGTCTCAAACGTCTCATCTAAATTTTGAATTTTAACTTTATATAGACTGTGTAATTTTGGGACAAGTTGGGTGCCTCCGAATAAGCTTTGAACAATTTGTTCATCTCGAATCTTAGGTAGCCCCAAATTTTTTGCACAACTAAAGAGAATATACGATCTTTGAGATGCAGAATCAAGAATTGCCCTTACTACTTTTGACTCGCCTCTATGAACAATCTTTACTGCGATAGTTTGCATAAGTGTGCCACCAGGATTGCTAATTAAAACGCTCTCTTCATTTTGTTTATTTTCAGTTTTTTCTTTAAAGTTATTTTCTTTATGACATACTTCTGGGCAAAGTATAGGATAGTGTTTTTTGCCACAGAGGACACATTTGATAAATGTTCTACAGTTTTTTATGCTGTGAAATGGTTTTAAACAGCCGAAACAAACTTTTTTCTGTAAAACAATCTCTTTTCTTTTACCAAGTGTCATACTTTGTGCTTTTATGCAATCCTGGCTGCTGTGCCATGTACAATTACAAAATATGCAAGTTTTCTTACCATATTTTTCCTTCAAATCTTTTGAACCATTCAAAATTGTAGCTGCAGTTGGCATGTGTGGCTCACCTGACCTTGTCTGCTTAATATTTCCCATCTCACTCTTTGTTCCTTGTCCAGCTTTCAATGTTGTTATTTTTGTCTGCTCCTTTTGTCCCAAAACTTTTTGCCAGATGGATTCTTTCTTCACTTTCTACTTCGGTTTTCAAGAAATCTAGTAAATTATTCAAAAGATTAGTATTTTTACCACTAAATTGATTTGTACTCCTGTGTCTTTCCCACACCCTCATGATATCTTCTGGCAAAGCAGACTCTACTAGTGGATACAACATTGCAGCGTATTTGTCTGTAGTCACCCCTAATGTTTCCAAATTCCGTAACTGTGACTCCAAACTATCATATAAAGAAGCAATTGTGATGTTAGATTTTCCCGTGGCTTGCTTAAGAACCAAATTTAATAGCTCGCGGACATATACTTCAATTAAAAACTCATCTCTACCAAATCTTGCTTTTAATTGTTCTAATGCTTTCTTATAATTTTCGACTGAAGGTGGATAACTTTCAATCAAGGCTCTAGCAGCAGAATTTTCTTCGGTCGATTGCAATAGATACTCAAACTTATATTCATTATCTATGCTTTCATCTTCATCTATCTTTCGAAATTGCCCCCAGAAACCTATCCATTTTTTGACATCCCCATCAAATTTTTTCAGGTTTAATTTAGGAAGGAGAAACTTATGCTTGGTACTCACATTTGATTCGGTCTGACCTTGACAACTTAAGAAATAATGGTCTACCTTATTCCTGTAATCTATAATCTTCTCCCTAAAAACCTCTACTGATACCATTTCAGCTTCCATCTCGGCTTCGCTGGATCCTTGGGTCACCATCATCCCCCAAATTTTATCATCAATATTGAAGATGCGGCTAATTTTATCCTCTAAAACCTTCAGGAGCTTTACGGTCGTTTCCCTGGAAATGCTGGGTCTTTTCAACTCTTCATCCAGCTGTTTACCAATTTCGTCAAAAAATTGTTGTAAAATTCTCCTCTCTATCTTCAATTTGTCTACGGTCGCCATATGTTCTTCTTAGGTACTGCAGGTTATATTATTTTGCCAAAGATAGGGGAAAATGAGGAGTAAATTATTCGACAAACTGTAATAAATTTATATTTTTTGACAACAACCTAGGTATAACGTCAAACAAAGGTAAAAATAAAATTAAACTATAACAACCATTGTTGCTGTAGTGAAAGAACCTTTAGAATTAAGGCTTTAATAAGCTAAAATTCAATACAGTATTTTCTGACAATAACTGACAACATGACATACAACATACAGGTACATAAATATAGGGAACACAGTAAATAGTAAAGTAATGAAATATATAACATTCTTCCTCGCTCATTTTGTGACATAATCTTGAAGATATGAAGGTGGCCTATGATTTCTCTTTACCAAAACACAACTGGATTCATCAGTAGGTTTCACTGGAGGATTTTCATTGTGTGATTGTTCAGAATTTTGGGGAAGAGAGCAATTTGAATCATTCAAAGGGAACGAAGATGACAAACGTTCTGAACTGACTGATGTAAGGTTTTCTTCAGGAATAGTTAATTCATTCTTATCTTGTTCTGGTAGTGTTATGGTATTTTGATCTTGTTCTGACAGTGTCACATCTCCCCTTGGTGCTAAATGACGAGTTGATACAGTCATTTCTCTACCATTGGATAATCGTACATGAGCATAATCTGAATTTGCTTCCAGAAAATCCACTTCTTCTACTAGTGGATCAAATAATTTGCTATGTCTAACATGTTTCTTTAGAAAAACTGGGCCTGGGGTGCTCAACCAAGTAGGCATTGAGGTACCATTAGTCGATCTTCTAGGATGGTTGAACATGCGTTCATGAGGTGTTGAATTAGTCGCAGTACACAAAAGGGATCTTATTGAATGTAGAGAATCGATTAAAACATCTTGCCATTGTTTTACTTCAAGGTTTCTAGATTTAACCTTAAGTTGAATAGTTTTCCAAATTGTTCCATTAATTCTTTCACATTGTCCATTTCCCTCTGGATTGTACCCAGTTGTACGACTTGTGGCAACACCATGACTTGTTAAAAATGATTTCACATCAGCAGATAAAAAAGATGCTCCTCTATCGCTGTGAATATAACCTGGTGTGCCAAACATTGAGAATAGTTGAGTCAAACAGTTTATTACCGTTGCAGATGACATATCCGAACATGGAAATGCAAACGGAAATCTTGAATATTCATCTACAATGTCTAGTAAGTATTTGTTTCTATTATTGGAAGGTAACGGTCCTTTAAAATCAATGTTTAATCTTTCGAATGGTGCTATGGCTTTGATAAGAGTTCCTTTGTTTTTATGAAATCTCGGCTTTATCTCTGCACAAACCGGACATGCGGATATAACTCTTTTGATGTCTTCTAGTGAATAAGGTAAATTTTTGCATCTAATCCAATGATAGAATCTTGTGACACCAGGATGACACATCGCGTTGTGTAAATTATACAAAGTTTTGTCTGATGTTGATGGTTGAATAGCAGCAGATATCCTGGAAAGTGTGTCAGCTACAATGTTTTGATTTCCTGGCCTGTATATAATATCAAATTTGTAACATGATAATTCTATTTTCCAACGCAATATTTTCTCATTTTTGATTTTTGATGAACTCTTATTATCAAACATAAATGCAACGGATCTTTGATCAGTTATTATACTGAAATGTCGTCCCATTAAATAATGCCTCCATTTTCTTATAGCTTCGATTATTGCGTATGCTTCTTTTTCTATACTGGAATGATTTTGTTCTATTTTTGTTAAGGTTCTTGAGAAAAATGCGACAGGTTTACCATTTTGTGTCAGTTGAGCACCAATAGCAAAATCAGAAGCATCTGTTTCTACTGTAAATGGAACCTTTTCGTCGATGAATATTACAACTGCATCAATAATATCTTGTTTCAGCCTTTCAAATGCATGAATTTGTTCTCTGTTCATGGGAAAAGTTTTCACGTTTACAATGGGATGTATCTTTTCAGAAAATTTGTATATAAATTTTGAGTAGTGTGCAAACATACCTTGTACTCTTCTGAGAGAAGCAACATTTGTAGGGGCTGCTAAATTGATTAATGGCTGTAGTCTATCCGCATCTGGTTTTATGGTTTTTTTTTCTATTGTATATCCAAGAATATTGATAGTTGTCATTGAAAATTTGCATTTCTCATCGTTTAATGTTAGATTATACTTTCTTGTAATATTCATAAATTTCTCTAAGTTTTTGTCATGTTCTTCTTTTGTTTTTCCACATATTGTAACGTCATCCAAAAATGCATATGTATCAGATAGTCTTTCATTATCTATGATATTGTTAATTATACGTTGAAAACATGCTACTCCATTTGTGACACCAAATGGAATTCTTGTGAATTGATACAAGTTGTTACATGCTTCAAAGCCAGTGTAAATTCGCTCACTTTCCAAAATAGGTATTTGATGGTACGCACTACGTAAGTCTATAGAACTAAAATATTCATATTGCGAAACTTGGCTAATAATTCTATCAATATTAGGTAGTGGATATGCATCTAATAAAGTGAACTTGTTGATTGTCAACGAGTAATCAACAACCATGCGTTTCTTATGATTTACGTTACTTGCAACCAATACTTGTGCTCTCCACGGTGAATTACTTGGTTCAATGATGTTTTCTTTCAATAATCTTTGTATTTCTGTTTGTATAAATCTGTAGTCATCATTAGAAAACCGTCTAGATTTAATAGCAATAGGCTGGCAATTGTCTGTTAAATTCGCGAACAGCGGATAAGGTTGAATATTTGCTGTTACTAGATTACAGATAGAAAGTTTTGATTGATTTCCACCAAAATTGAATTCTACTCCAGAATGATTTTGAAGAATATCATGTCCAATTATAACTTCAGAACAGAGATTTTCCATCACGTAAAACTTGATATTTTTGTACACATGATCTGATATTTTCAAAATCCACAAACAGGAGAATTTAAAGATGAAGCAGCCATTGTGACATTGAGATTCGTAGGAAACACTTTGATACGTCTCTGTGTGGTGACAGTTTTTGAGATATAACTGTCCGAACTTCCAGTATCAATTAATGCATCAGTTGGAATATGATTGACTTCAATTTTAATAATAGCTTTCGATAAACAAGATGTTGAGGCTGCTGACATCATTCCAATCATAGCAGCTGAGGTTTTATTTGAATAATGAGATTGTTTTTGATATTTTGATCTACATACTTGTGTGAAATGACCAATTTTTCCACAGGAATGACAGGTTGCATCTCTTGCTGGACATTTATCTCTAGAGTGTCTGTTTCTTCCACAAAAATAACATTTTGATGTAATTACGGCAAGTGTTGTATCCATTTGTTCATTTGATTGTTGAACATAAGTCGATGATTGATTTGCTACAATTGAATTGACGTACGAATTTGAGGTATAAGATTCTGACTGTTGTTGGGCCATTTCTAAAGACCTAGCTGATTTATGAGTCGTATGTTCTAGAAGTCTTTGCCTAATGTGAGATGTGGCCAGACCACTAATAAATGAATCTCTTATGTAGTCATTTTTATTCTGTTCAGCAGTGACTGCTTTGAAATTACAGTCCTTACTTAATTGTATCAGAATTTGTAAGTACTGGTCTATAGATTCACTTACTTGCTGTTTTCTAGTGAATAAAGTATGACGGGCAAAAATTTCACTCTGTGTTTTTACATATAACTTTTCGAGTATGGCGACTGCTTCTATGTAGGAAATACATTCACTAATAGACTGATAAACTGAAGAACTCACATAGTTTACTAGAAGGTTTAATTTGTCCTTATCTTCTGATATTTTGGCAGCTTCTAAAAAGTTCTCAAACGTTCGTTTCCAGTGGATCCATAACTGGCTAGCATTGTTTGAATGTGTGTCAATTTCTAGTCGTTCTGGCTTGAGTAATTTGTCCATTGATTGGGTAATTATTAGCTTATTAAATTGTAGTAAAAGAACCTTTAGAATTAAGGCTATAATAAGCTAAAATTCAATACAGTATTTTCTGACAATAACTGACAACATGATATACAACATACAGGTACATAAATATAGGGAACACAGTAAATAGTAAAGTAATGAAATATATAACACAAGAGTTCGCGCTAATTTTCAAGATTGATTCTCGGGCAAGGTGTTTGTTCCGATAAAAACTCTTGGACAATTTTTACAGAGCTGGGCTTGTAGTTTGGCTATTAGCTTCGTAACTTAGCTGATAGAAAACAATATAGCCGATTACAGTCATCGATAGGCTTTCAACTAACGACGTCTAGCGCCATCTATCAATTGAAAGCCGAAACTTCATTTAAAATTCTTTATTTTAGAAACTTTCTTCTTAGAAATAAAGGGTCTATTAATAATTATTATTATCAACTAAAATAATTTTCGGTAGTTGACTAATTAGGTAATTAAATGAAAAGATTTCGCTAATTGAATATTTTTACCAATACTATCAATAATTTAATATGGCAGTGCAAGGATTTTTATTTTTCATTATTATATCGAGTGCAAACTTATTATTATAATATTATAATTATTATTCACAAATCTACAATAAAAAAGTTTTTCTTTCAATTATTTACAATAATAATTATTTTCGATATGGATTTTATTTATTTACAAAACAATTTGGTCCATATAACGCTACTCAAAGCAAAAATGTCACTTTAGAGTCAACTACCGAATCGAGGGTGTAAAAGGTGCGCGCACACTGATCAAACAAAATCTAGGGTGCGCAAACCTTTATTTTTCATTATCGTATCAACAATTTTTATAAGGCTTCGACAATAAGTGGGTGAGAACAGAATTACATAACTTTTTTGTACACTCATCCGTCAACTCTTTTCTCACCCAATTCGTAATGTCGACATCATAAGGCTTTGGAATTAATTGAACAATTATTATCATTAATCAATCGCGGGTGGAACATTTGCGGCACAAAAATATACAACAGCCGCTGACGAACAACAGTACCGATACGCTCGCGGCGCCCACGTAAAACCAGTTGATCTTGGGTGCGGCGACTCGGGTACAAACGTCGTCGGATTCGTCGTTGTACGAGGAACCTAAAAGAAAACGATGCGCTTTACGGCACTGGTCGCGTAATATTCAAATACCTTTGTGATCCGTGGCGTTCGGACAGTTGATTATGCCGTTGCATACTAGCCGAGCCGGTATGCAAAGGCCCTGCTCGCCTGGACAAGTGAACTCGCACTCTTCCAGCAGTTCGTCGGTGGTGCCGCCCTCGGTCAGTTTGGAGGTCATGAGGGTGCCGTCGATGTTGCGTGGCAAGTGGAACAGTTCGGTCCAGGCGATTTTGAAGGCGGCCCTCGTGGGCGAAGAGCGACCTGATGGAAAAACAGAGAAATTTGTGCCCTTTCTTTTTTCTTCTCACTTTCACTTACCGATAAACTGTACGGTTATCGAAGGCTCGCCTCCGTCGGCGCTCAGTTCGCCCGACGACAATATCGGCAGTTCCTTGGCCAGCGATACGTTTTCGCCGCACAGCGAAAGAAAGGGCTCGACGCGGCCCTTGAGGAAAATATCGACGATGCCGTCGTCGCACGAATTCGAATTGAATTTGATGTGATCGAAGTGCAGCCACAGGTCGCGCTCCTTGCTGATCTTCACTTCCCATATGCACCTGAAAACACGCCTTTCAGTTTCGGTTCAGAAATCAAAATAGAGCGAACGTACCTGATTGATTTCGGGGGCTCGACGTAACCGATAGCTTCGTAATAGGGATAATGAATTTCACCATCGGTGATGGGATAAATGATGGCAGGTCCGCACAAAGGCCCGTGGACGAACTCGTAGGTAGCCTCGAACAACGGATTGGAATGTTTGAAGTAGCTCAGAGCGCTGTGAGCACTGTCCACGATCAATTGTAAATTCAAATGTTCCCCTTTGGAGATCACCTTGAACGAACATCGAGTTTCAATAATCTAAGGACATTTTTGGGCATTACTCACTTGGGTGGAAAACGATTGTCGGTTGCATATGCAAGTGACCTCTCCCGATTGCATGGCCTTGTTCAGACTGATGGGTGTGTAAGAAGAATTGGCGCCCGGCGGCAACGGTTCCCATATCACCAACTTGTCCACACGGTCCTCGATGCACGAGATGCAAGGGCCGGAATTATATGGGTGATCCTGAAAAACTCGGCGAATAATAATTTAAATTATGGCCGCAATGATTACCTTGAAATTAACACAAGTGATGGTTAAGATAACTCTGGCGAATAGACGTTTGTCGCTCACGAATCGGTAGAGGCACGCGACGTCCTCGCTAGAATGCTGCTGTTTATAAACCAGAGTGTTGAGGGGCGACCTGAGCCAGCCTTTGATTTGCTTCCAGGAGGCGAACACTTCGTCGCATTTTTTTCCCGGCACCGGCTCGCCCAGCTTGGTGTCGTTGAAAAAATCGTAGTGGGCCCAATAGTACAACGAGGAACTATGAAAATTCTTCCATCATTGATCAAAGTAACCTATTAAGGGAGCTCTTACCCACTATAGCTACCGGTTTTGCTTTCGAATTTCACAAACAGCGAATTTCCCGACGAGACGAAGTCGTATTTTTCCATTGCTTTTGAAAAAGTATCACAGAAGGTTTTTATTATTTTGGAATCGTCCGCCCAAGAAGCGTCGTACAGGGTCAGAGATTCGCCGCAGTCGCTGTCAGTGGGCTGGATCGGAGACTCGATCCGGTTTATTCTGAAACTAATTTCAGAGTCATTTAAAAAGTCCACATTTCAATTGAAATTACCTGGGAAAATACAACCGGACAATTTCGCCTTCTTCGCCCTGCATCAGGTAGGTGCAACTCGTGTGAGGCGGATACCAATGGGCCACCGACAAGAAAATGCCTTCAGAATCGCCGGAAGCTCGTAAACTTTCCGACGACAATAGCCAGTCGCAGGTACCGTTCCGGCTGCCGGCGGTGTCCACGTGTCCGGGCCAGTTGCCCACGTTGAAGTGGAACCCGGTGTTGAGCAAAGGACCGGCCGGCGAAGTGAGAAATTCCACGAAAAGGTCTTGCGACGTGCCGATGATAGAGTAGGGAAACTTGCCCATGCCGCAAAACGTCCCTATGACCGGACTGAGTTCGTTTTTGCCGTCGTAGATCTTCACGTAGTCGTAGGGACAATTTTCTTCGCCCGACGATATCGGTCTCGTGGGACAAGTCATGATGTTCTCGCAGCGTTGCCCGTCGATGTTGAACTCCTCGTTTTCGATGTAGAGCTTGATGAACGGCAATCGCGTATTCAGATAGTAGCGACAGTGCAGATTTCTGGGATAAACTCCTGGATAGGCCGGCGATTGTACGTAGCAGGTTTGCAGGCGACAGTCTTTGAATATGCGCTCGCAATAAGACCTGGAATAAAATCGACTGCTGAAACGATCGTAGATAATGCCGAATACCTCTACCCTTGCACGACTTCCCCCCGTCTGTTCGGATACAATTCTGGATGTTGCCCGTATCGCAGATAAACCACGAGCTGTTGTTCCGCTCTAGTGTCGAAACTGAAGTAAGTTTGATCCGTGAAATTTTCCACGTGGAATAGCATTTTCACGAAGGACGTTTCCGACATGAAAGTTTGAGGCTGTTCGCTTTCTCCGCAATACATCCCCGGCTCTTTTCGATTCGAAACGTCCGTCTTGGCATTACCGTCGACAATCTGGAACAATGTGGCGATGAGCAAATTGGACAAACGTTATAAGACTATTTAGTGGAGTCATTTTGAAGGCTGAATGTGGCTAGTTAGCTGACGAGAATATGGGTGATTTTAATGCGTGCCACCCGTTCGAACATTTGGAGAAGAAAAAAATTGATTTACATGAAGAAGTTTTTGTTTTAATGTTCTCGAATTTTCCGGCTTTTAAATTAAGGATTGATATTGAAAAATAATTCACCAATAAAAAACACCAGATGCTTTTCAATAGCTGAAAAAGTAAGGACGAGTGTCAACTTCCAACAGAAAAGAATAAAAGGGTTTGTTGTGAAAATAACGCTAAAAAATCGCCAGACGGCAATTACAGTTCGAAATCGAGCAAATCCGCAAAACATTCTATGGATATTTCTAACAGGGAGCAGGTCATATTCTCATCAGCTAACTAGTCACATTCAGCCCTCAAAATACCAGACAAAAAAAAAATAACCCCACTAAACAGGGTCTATTAACTCACTTGCATGTAGCCGCCCTCGCAGTGAGTGGCGTTGAGCAAGTTGCCCACTTTGAACTTGTTGAATTTGATGCGCAGGATCCAGTCTTTGGGTGCACCTCGGAACGACCTGAACCTGTACCAGCAGGTCATCGGTTTTCCGAAGTTGTCCTGCGTCACCTCCGGGCTAGCGACATCTTCGTATATGTCGACGGTCTTGTTGCAGTGGTCTTTTTTCGACTCGGCTAGAAAGTTGTAGACTTATTTATCTTAATCCGGAGACTTGATTTATGAAAATTGGATGTTTTGAAATAATTGTCAAAAAATAAGTTTTAATCGACCTAAAACTATCCAATTTAAATCCCCGCAAGTACAAAAGGTCATTAGAGCCAGGAAACATCCAATCTGGCACATTCTAATTTAATAATAAATTGTTTTCGTTGACCAGATACAAACTAGCTGTGTGACCTTTTGAACTCTAGCTTACCCTAACAAATATCGCAGTGGTATAGTTCTAGAAACAGTATTATTGCTAAAACTTACCACGTTTCACTGCTGGCGAGCTGGCAGCGACGTCGAAAACGATCTTGAAAATCACCATCAAGTGACAATAGAGCAACAAAATACGCTTGAATCCCATGGCTGCGTCTCATAGCTCGCCGCTATCAATCAGGAAAACACCGAACCGCGAATCGGTCATTGAGCACATTGTAAACAACGAAAACCGTCCTCCAAACTACGAGGGGGCCTCTGCCTGCGACGCTCTCTTTGCCCGGGCAGGAAAAAGTCGATTTTTGAGGCTCTAAATTCCTTCCCTCCTGCAAGTTGCCAGGATCGGCACGGAGCCGGAGATGGCCGATCGATTCTTCCCCCACCGCTCTCGCCTTTGAGGTTTTTCCTGGACGAAGAATTAGGACGCGGGTTTTCGAATTGTAAAGTGGAGTTTTATAGAAAAACGACAATTTTGAAAACCAACTTTATTCAAACAATTAATTTCCTTTAATCATTTCACACTGACAAAATATCTTTGTGCATTTTAATACATTTTTTATACGTGTACGCGCAGTGGTCTACTGCAACAATCTAGTTGTTCGTTTTAAGGGTCGGAACTCGGAACGACATAAGGGTTTTTATCAATTGTCAATTATTGTCATCCCGATAATGACACAAGTAAAAAACGCAACTTTCTAATTGTTTTTGTTCAAATAACTATTAATTGTATTTTGGAATTTTGAATCTATATTCAGGATGTTTCACAACTTAGGTCTATTCGATAAGTCGCGAATCCTCCTGTTCATAATCGCTTAGTAATTAATTAAAGTCTTAACTCGACAAGTGTAACGATATTTCTTACCTAATTAGAAAAAATTAATCAGTATTTCTTATGTAAAAAATAAACAAAATGTCCTAAAATTAGCAATACTAAACTACAAAAAAAAGAATGGATTTCCATTGTAGTAAAAAAAAAAAGAATTCTATACAAAAGGACTTTTATGATTGACTACAAAAAACACTCCGTTAATATTAATGTTGCATTAGAGGGTGTTTTTCGGGGACAACTTCAGTCACTCAAATTTCAACTTTAGACAAGAATAACCCACCCACAAAATTAGTGAGCAGGGCGGGCTCTCGAACTTATAAAGGGAAAATATTAATTATTAACAGATTAGCGCGTATTTAGGTAGATTTTCAATATTTTCTCAGTTGAGAGGAAGGCAAAATATGTTCTGAAGCACCGATTTCGGCCGGACGTCGAGCTGCAGCTCCGGGCCGATATCGGGAGGCGGCGGAGGCGGCAAGACGGGCGGCGGAAACCGGTGGATCGGCGGCGGCGGCACGTTGTTCGGGTGCAGGGCGCAATTGACGTTGTGTCACACGCAATCCTCCAACGACATTAGTAGCGGATTGACGTACTCGAAACCCTCGAATTCCGATTGGTCGATGCGTTCTATCACTCGACTGCAAAAAAAAATTCAGTCAATAATTATTTGTATAAAAGCTCTGTTCCAACAATTATAAGTCCATCAATTTATTTGTCAATTAGAATAAACGTTCAACTTATTGAAAAATAAGTGGGCAACTGGAAATTACTGGTTTTAGAACGGTTCTTCTGTTTGTTGGAACAGAGCTACCCCATCTCGAACAGTATATTAGAACAGGTAGTCATTTGTATTTAAGAAATCTCCCATATTATGATAACTTTTTTCTAGCAATTGAGTTATTATTAATGGAGTTGGGACTTTTTTAAAATAATGTTGTTTTGTAAAGTAATACTCTACAAACAACTTTTTCACTCAAAAACTGAAGTGAGTGGAGAGTTGAAATTTTGAGGACTTTTTCCTAAAGATTCAATGTGAAAAATACTAAAAACTCAAAGCGATTGAGTTATTATTAATGGAGTTATGATTTTTTGAAAATAATGATGTTTTGTAAAGTAAGACTTTACAAACAATTTTTTCACTCAAAAACTAAGAGGAGTAGAAAGTTGAAATTCTGGGAACTTTTTCCCAATGATTCAATGTAAAAAATATCAAAAACTCAAAGCCATTAAGTTATTATTAATGGAGTTACGATTTTTTGAAAGTAATGATGTTTTGTAAAGTAAGACTTTACAAACAATTTTTTCACTCAAAAACTAAGGGGAGTAGAAAGTTGAAATTCTGGGAACTTTTTCCCAATGATTCAATGTAAAAAATACCAAAAACTCAAAGCCATTAAGTTATTATTAATGGAGTTACGATTTTTTGAAAGTAATGATGTTTTGTAAAGTAAGACTTTACAAACAATTTTTTTACTCAAAAACTAAGGGGAGTAGAAAGTTGAAATTTTGGGAACTTTTTCCTAATGATTCAATGTAAAAAATATCAAAAACTCAAAGGAATTGAGTTATTATTAATGGAGTTACGATTTTTTGAAAATAATGATGTTTTGTAAAGTAAGACTTTACAAACAATTTTTTCACTCAAAAACTAAGGGGAGTAGAAAGTTGAAATTCTGGGAACTTTTTCCCAATGATTCAATGTAAAAAATACCAAAAACTCGAAGCCATTAAGTTATTATTAATGGAGTTACGATTTTTTGAAAGTAATGATGTTTTGTAAAGTAAGACTTTACAAACAATTTTTTTACTCAAAAACTAAGGGGAGTGGAAAGTTGAAATTTTGAGGACTTTTTCCTAATGATTCAATGTAAAAAATATCAAAAACTCAAAGGAATTGAGTTATTATTAATGGAGTTACGATTTTTTGAAAATAATAATGTTTTGTAAAGTAAGACTTTACAAACAATTTTTTCACTCAAAAACTAAGGGGAGTAGAAAGTTGAAATTCTGGGAACTTTTTCCCAATGATTCAATGTAAAAAATATCAAAAACTCAAAGGAATTGAGTTATTATTAATGAAGTTACGATTTTTTGAAAATAATAATGTTTTGTAAAGTAAGACTTTACAAACAATTTTTTCACTCAAAAACTAAGGGGAGTAGAAAGTTGAAATTCTGGGAACTTTTTCCCAATGATTCAATGTAAAAAATACCAAAAACTCAAAGCCATTAAGTTATTATTAATGGAGTTACGATTTTTTGAAAGTAATGATGTTTTGTAAAGTAAGACTTTACAAACAATTTTTTTACTCAAAAACTAAGGGGAGTAGAAAGTTGAAATTTTGGGAACTTTTTCCTAATGATTCAATGTAAAAAATATCAAAAACTCAAAGGAATTGAGTTATTATTAATGGAGTTACGATTTTTTGAAAATAATGATGTTTTGTAAAGTAAGACCTTACAAACAATTTTTTCACTCAAAAACTAAGGGGAGTAGAAAGTTGAAATTCTGGGAAC